CATGCATCTAAAAGCAATAATGTTGGGTGCAACTACTAAAAAATCCAAATACTAAAAATTTCCTGGAAGTTTTTGATGCCCTGATTTCAGAGTGTACCAAGATGTATCATAGACATTGACCATTAACCCACAAAATACTTGGTGAAAGACTAAAATTTAAAAGAAGTATGAAGCAGTCAACAGCTTAAGCTCCACGATCTATTTATTTAACAGAAAATAACACGTCAAGGAATTCTTAATCCTATTATCACGCTTACTAGTGAAATCATGGACGCTGACAGCAAAATGAAAAAAAAAAAAAAATGTAGAAGAGAAATTAAGAATCCAACTTAGATACTCATAGGCCAGTATCATTGTAGTTCCCCAAGCTGACATGCTGAAAAATCTTTGGCCTAGACCTCTATATAAACCAGCCCATCCATCCTCCGCCATCAACTTTTTAACTACTTGTCGTGCAGTGGGTTTCTTTTCATTCCCTATCACCTGCAAGACACCCAAAAAAATTGAAATAAAATCAGAAGCCTTGCGAAAACGATCTGAATGTGCAACTCAACCATGCCATGTCTAAAACTCTAATAAAAAGATTCAGTGAAGCAATGAAAATTGCGAAATGTGTTAACAATGAGAATTTTTGAACTATTGTTCTTCATACCGAAAGAATATTAACATTAAAGCAGAAAAATATATATTTTTTTTTGTTCGTGATGATGTGAACATTGTTTTCAGCTGAAACTGCAACTCCAAGATCAGAGCTATTGCATGAGTACTAGGACTAGACCAACTCCCCTTGGTTAAGAAACACCGTTTTTCAAACAAGTATCAACACTATACAGCATCGACACGTTGATTAATTTATTTTTTTTCCTTTTCAATTTTTTATGTCAGAGAAAAATCAAAGGGTTTGAGCAAGAAGAGTTTTCTCTTGAAATGGAGCCTAAAGCATTCTGTAAATGAAATGGGTTTGCTTCTTGTGTAAGTTTGCATTTCATCAAATCATGGGAAAAATAATAATTTAGCTGTTTAAAAAGTTATTCACTATTTAAAATTAGTAAATATTTGACTTGACATGCAATTCTTCTATACTAAATAAAATGTAAACCCACTTTATGAAAACTTGACCCACCTTAAAAAAAAAACCAAGGAACAATACATAAATAAGATATTTAAGTATCACCATTTCAAAATTAAGGATAGAAGTTTTAAATTTCAAAAATTAGGTTTTTATTATAATTTATATATGATTTAATTAATTAATTATATATTTAATTAATTAAATATATTAAGGTCACAGATCTACACAATTTGATCACAAATTGACCATTTAATTGGTCACATATTATTTTTCGATCACAAATCAAAATTTTTATGTCACAAATTATTTTAGGATCACAATTCAAAAAATTTATAAGTCACAATTTGTTCATCGGTCACAAATGAAAAATTTAAAAGTCACAATTTATTTATCGATCACAAAACTATCAAATTAATAAGTCACATATTATTTATTGGTCACAAAATATCCAATTTGTTGGTCACAATATCAATTTATTCACAAATCACAAATGTTAAAGTCACAATTCAAATTTTAGGTCACATATTATTTATTGGTCACAATCTCAAATAATTGGTCACAAACACCCCCACCCCATGCGCATCCCACGTACAACCATCGCACCACAGCCATGACCACCACTATCATCAC